GACTGTATCTGTTATTCTCTCACTTTCAAGGCATTTAGGAATTCATTCTGGGCAAAAGAAGGAGTTCTATCAGTGAACCTTAGAAACTTCCTTTTGTCTGACAGTGTGTATTATGTAAGTAGTTTTTGTGGCAGGTAAGAAGCCTCATTCTTGCAGTTTTATCCAGCAAATGATATTTGCAGTTTTTGGAGAAAGGCGCAGGAGCAAACCTGTTACAGTGGTCCAGGCAGGAGGATTTAGTTCTAGGCTCAGTTTTTGCACCTGCAGATGGCTTAACGTTCTGTGCCTCGCCCTCCCTGGCTGAGAAGTTACAATAAAATCATCCCTCCCCTACTTTCCTCTTGCACTTGAGTGTGGAGGGGGAGGACTTCTGCAGCCAGAGCTGAGGCCTGTCTCAGTTCTGCATTTTATTGGGGGCTTGAGGCTGTGTGAGCTTAGCGCCCTTCCTCTGGTTTAAAGATATTCAGGAGGCTGATGACTTTCTCAGGATGGGAACACAGAGAAAGCCATGAGATCATTTCAGAAACTTCCAACAGGTGTTTTCAAAACCCACTTGCTACCATCCATTGTCCAAAGCTATCCCAGAAAATGTCTTCATGGCTCAGCACAGGAGTCTTAGAGCTGGCTCTCCATAAATACGGGTGGAGTGGCGCTAAACGCATGCAGTACGCACCACCCCCAGACCCTCCTCACGGAAACAGCTCCAGATGCACAGTTGGCTGCTGAGTTCTGTCATATTCTGAAACATGCTGACTTTCCTTCCTCGGGAAGATGGCATGACTGACAGGTGTTATTTTTAGGAGGCTAGCTTTTGCCCTGATCTGTCAGCATTCCCTCATTCGGTTCTTTACTGAGCAATGATAAACTGCAGAACCTGTGGCGGTGAACAGTTGACCACCTTCTCTGTCTTGAACCCTCTTCTTTTGGTTACTGTGACCCCATACTCGCCCGATTTGCTTCTTACCTCTTGGGCCATGCTTCTTGCTTTCCTTTGCTGGTTCTTTCTTTTGATCTCTAAATAGCTGAGCTCCTCCAAGCTTAGTCCTAAACCCTTTTCTTTATTCTCCTTTCCTCTCCCCTTTTCCTTTCTTTCCCTAGATACTTCCTCATTCCCCTTTCCCTAGATAATTTCATTAATTCTTATGGTTTCAATGATCACCTATTTAGCAAAATCTTCAGAATTTCAACTCATACATTCAACTATCCACTCAACATTTCCACCAGAAGTCTCATAGTCTCAATTTCAACATGCTCAACACAGAATTCTCTCTTCCTCCATGTGGTCCCTGAAATCCTTCTGCGGCCTTCCTCATCTAAGTCTCCCTGTCGCCTGTAATCTACCTAGTTTCTTGGGTCAGAGACTTGGGAATATTTCTCATCACTTTCCTGTGTTCCCAACATTCAAACAATAGTCAAGTCCTGTCAAGTATTTTTTTTAACATTTCTCAAATTTCCACCTTAGTTGAATCATACTTGTATCTCTCCTGGTAGCTGCATTAGCCTCCTAATTAGTTTCCTGGCAACAATTCTTACATTCCTGTACCCACCCACCCCCCCAACAATTCTTTCCTTAGAGACAACCCCTTTCTCCTTCCTTTCTCTCTTCCCTCCCTCTCCCCTTCACCTCCCTTCCCCCGTTTCCCTCCCTTCCCCTCCTTTCCCCTCCCCTTCCTCTCCTCACCCTTTCCCCTCTTTCCTTTTCCCCTCCCCTGTCCTCCCTCCCCTACCCCTTCCTTCCCTTTCCCCTTCTCCTTCCTTTCCCTTCCTTTTTTCCTTCCCTTTACCCTCCCCTTCCCTTCCCTCCCCTTCCCTTCCCTTCCCCTTCCCCTTCCTTTTTCCGTTCCCCTTCCCCTTCCCCTTTCTCTTCGCCTTCCCCTTTTCCTTCCCCTTCCCTTCCCTTCCCCTTCCCCTTTCTCTTCGCCTTCCCCTTATCTTCCCCTTCCCTTCCCTTCCCCTTCCCCTTTCTCTTTGCCTTCCCCTTTTCCTTCCCCTTCCCCTTTCTCTTCCCCTTCCCCTTTTCCTCCCCCACCCCTCCCCTTCCCCCTTCCCTTCCCCTTCCCTTCCCCTTCCCTTCTCTCCCCTTCCTTTTCCCCTTCCCTTCCCTTCTCCTTGCCCTTCCCCTCCCTCCCTCCATCTTTCTCTCTCCATCCCTTCCTTCCCTTTCTCTTTTCTTTCTTTTTTCTTCTTTTCTCCTTCTCTTTTCTTTCTTTCTTTTCTTTTTCCTGCCTTCCACCTTCCTTTCTTTTTCATGATTTAAATGTTTGTTTTCCTTATTTAAAAATATATTTTCAACTATTTATTTTGACATAATTATAGCTTCATAGGAAGTTACACAATGTATCACAGAATGGTCCATGAGCCCTTCACTCAGTTTTCTCCAAGGGCAGCATCTTACATAATTATAGCACAATATCAAAACCAGGCCATTCACATTAGTACAATCATCGACTTTTTTCAGATGTGATTGGTTTTACATGCACACATACATGTGTGTACGTGTATGTATAGTTCTGCACAGTCTTATCACATATGTAACCACCACCACAATCAAGATACAGAACCACCTCATCCCAATAGCCCCCACGCTAAAGAATGCTCCCTTAAAACAATGCACTCCACTCACTGCCTTGCTCAACTACCTTTAATGAGCTAAAGGCCCCAGATTCTTAAATAAGGGCTGCAAATGCCTGTAATCTGGCTCCAGCTACCTCTGCAGCCACCTCTTACCCCTTTCCTTTTGCTTACCAAGCCTCTGCTCCCTGGCCTTTCTCCTTGTAATTTGCTAAGCTGCTTTCCTGCTCAAAGCCTCCACCCATGTTGTTCCCCTTACTTGGAATCCTCTACTTCCCACCTAGATAACTTCTCATCTGCAACGTATCAGCTTAAAGGTTTCTCAGGCAAGGTTTTCTTGACATCTCAGGCTAGGTTAGGTTCTTCTATTGTTTGTTTTTATGGCCAATTATACTTTTCCTTCATGGCACTAATCATACAATCGTAATTGATAGATAGGTGTGTATGGCTGATTTGAGGCCTCTTAGGCTAGGCTGGAAGGGCTTGAGGTGTCTTGCTCATCTCATGGTGTCTTTTCTGTCTAGCACAATGGCTGGCCTGGAAGTACTTGGCAAGTTAATGAATAGTTATCCTGAGCTGGCTGGGTGTGGCTGGGGTGTGGCAAAGAAGCCGGCAAAGTCAACTTGCCTCTATGGGCATCTGTTCCATGACCTCATGTTCATGCTCCTGGTGGTGACCTGTCAGAGAACCTGGGCATCCCTGGAGTTCCAAGCAGATATTTCCTCCCCAGTTCCCATCCCAGTGTTCTCTCTGAGAGATTGGAATAGGGAGCAACCCTGGCTAGTGTTCTTCTTAGACAGATCTTTGAGATGCTTTCAAGAATGTCGGCTGGCTGTTCACCCAGGCTTTTAATGTACTACTTCTTAATCCTTGGGGTCACTGTCATGGTGTCACCTTGAGAGGGTTATTAGTTGAGAGCTGTGGGAATTTTAAGTTGGATGGTACCTTGAAAAGCGATTAGATCCGGCCTCTCCTTGCTTCTTCTGCATGTATTCACCGAGTGTCCCCCCAGATGCCAACAAGTCATTTCCACACCCCTTGAACTCTCAGAGATAACTCAGTGTGGTTTCTATTTGTGGAGTTAAAATTTGAAGGATCCTTACATTGGCTGAATTGACAGTATTTCATCCAAATGGCCATGATGTGAACATGGACTCTGAAGACTTGGAAGGAAGGAAATGGGGGCTCCTGCTAAGATGTGGCTTTGCCAAGGGCGGTGGTGCCATGGGGGATGCTGTCTGTGGAGGACACTAGGTTGGTGGTGCTAATCATGCTGTCTCTAGCATCCTTCTTTAAAGCACATAATCCTTCAAATGAAAGAGGCAACACAAGGCACCATATAATGGTTTGGCAGAGTTGGAAGCTCTGGAGAATGGTGAATGGCCAGCACTGGACAAAGCTGTCCATTTTTTTGTGATAGAGTCAGTAATGGGCTTTGCCCTGGGTGCTCTGGGCAGATTCTGATCTGGTTCACAGCCCTGGGAGCCCTGGGAATGTCATCCAAGTTTTCCTTCCATACCAAATAGAAGGCCAAGGGTCTCCACATTCTACAGTTCATGGCCGTCTTCTCCCTGAAAGCACCTCTCTGTTAGATGACCTAGGTCTGCAGACAGAGTCCAGCTCTGCAGGCCAAGTCTTCATCATGGCCCACTGGGGCTGTGCTTGCAGGTCACAACTTGATGCGCCTCCTCTCATCTTGTGATTGGGTTGGCTCCCAGGAAACTTGGGATGGAGAGAAGAGTTAGAGCCAGTGACCAGTCCTTTTGGGATAGACCTGGCCATTTGCTCTGATGCTCCATTTTTTTGCCATCCCTGACAGTCCACTTCCTTCTGTAGTCCCTGGTACTGTTCAGGATGTGGACTTTTGCTAGTCTCATGGGTATCAGCATGGATACTTTAGGTACCAGTGCAATGTCTCATCCTACCCTGGAGCACTGATCCTGGAAACCTCATGCAGTCCTTCTGATATCCTCCCTTGCACTGCAAGGCAGTGTGAATAACTGGTTGAGTCAGAAGGCCAAGCTCCAAATAGTTCTTACTTGTTGCTGCTGCCATAGCTGATGCTGGGGCTTGGAGGGCCCTGCTGGTGTTTCTCGCAGTGCTGCCCTGGGCTGCGTGCTCTGCAGTTTCCTCTCTCGTTTTCTCTGATCACTGTTTTCTATCCTTATCAACTGGTTACACCTACTGGGGAGCATGGTCTTAGTGCAAGTGGAATTGGATATGCTTATATTTCTCTTTTGCCCTTGATCTGAATAATGGGGCAGTGAAGAATGTAGGTAGAGCCGTGTCCGGGCCCTGATTCTTTTCCCTACACCATGCCACCCTGCCCTGACTACACATTGGGCATCAATGTGTTTCCAGTTAGTGGTGTTGAGGGGTGGCAGGTCAGACCCTTTGGCCCTAACTCTGCTGTTTCTGGCTTCCTCCAGGTCACCCAACCTGTCTGCAGTTCACCCTGAACATGACCGAGGCTGTCAAGACCTACAAGTGGCAATGCATAGAGTGCAAATCCTGCATCCTCTGTGGGACCTCAGAGAATGATGTGAGTGTGGGGCTTTCCCTGTGGGAGGGAGAAATCCAAAGAGCTGGGGTCCTTTGAGAGGTGAAGAGGAAGGAAGGACTCTTGTCATTAGGACCCTGGGGCCTGTTACCTTGGCACTTGGGAGCAACCTGGCCGTTAGCCCTTGAGGGTTCAGTGACTGACAGGGGTGACCACTGCTTACGGCAGGGATGTGTCTGACTGTTTCCACCATGTTACAGTATGTGATCTTATTTGGCCTAAATGTTAAATATAATACATGCAGAATTTTCAAAAACATTTTTTATTATAGGAAATTTCAAACATTCCATAGAGAGAATAATGGAATTGATGTGCGCCATCATCAGCTTCAACAAAGATCAATACACGTCCAACATTTTTTCATAAATGCTATGACCTCCCCCCTCCATAGTCTGGGTCATAATATCATTTTGCCTGTAACTATTTCATATGTATCTCAAAAAGATAAGGAAGCTTTGAAAGGCTGAGGCGGGTGGGTCACGAGGTCAGGAGTTGGAGACCATCTTAGTTAACACAGTAAAACCCCATCTCTACTAAAAACAGAAAAAAATTAGCTGGGTGTGATGCAAGGGCCTGTAGTCCCAGCTACTTGGGACGCTGAGGCAGGAGAATCACTTGAACCCAGAAGGCGGAGGTTGGAGTGAGCCAAGCCTGGGCCACTGCACTCAGGCCTGGGTGACAGAATGAGTCTCAAAGAAAAAGAAAAAAAAGACTAAGGACTTACTTTTACACCTAAATAACCAAAATATTAATGTAGCTAAAAAATCAGTAATTCCTTAGCATCATGAAATGTCTAGTTAGCAGTTCTATTTCCTCAGTTGTCTCATCAGTGTTTCCGTTGCAGCCTGTTTATTTAAATTGGGATTCAAATAAGGCCCATACTTTGCAATTAGTTGATATGTCTTGAAGTTTATCTAAATATTTGTAGGTTCATGTAAACATATACATATAGCTTTTTAAAATTGTTACATCTGAGTGAGTTGTTAGGAAAACGCCACACTCTGAAATCTGATTGTGAGTCCTTTATCATCAGCGACCGAGAGTCAGCTCATGCTCAAAATCTCTCAGCCCCGAGGAAGGGGTTTGATTTCCTTTTATATGTTGCTCAGAGTAAGGGGGCAAAGCGGAATTTGATAGAAGCAGAATAAGCAAGTTAGGGGAGGAGGCTCCCATGATTGTTGATTAACTAAGGAGGGTATACACAAATGGTTCCCATGATTGCTGGTTACTGGGGGGGCATTCCGTACTTTCCATACAATCGATCAAGGGGGTATTCAAAATAGCGAGTGGGCTTGTCAAGCAGGATATGGTTACAACGGTTATATGTTTCTATAGTTCTAAGCACAACATGACCCAGCACAGTGTGGCCCAGGTATGCACTCAAGGGAGAAATGGTGGGGTGGGGGGAGAAGCCAAGATGGAGTCAGTCAGGCTCACATCTAAGACGGAGTTAGTTTGGTTCATCTCAAAATAACACATAGATTTTTTCCTCCCTCTTATTCTCTTTCTTCCTCCCTTAAATTCTTCGTTAAAATTATATCATTTGTTCAAGTCCTCATGACTGTATGCCTGTGCTAGTTGACATTTTTTTCTGTCTCTTAAATTTCCTGTAAATAGTTAGGGCGAGAGGCTTGATTGAGGTTGTCTCTCTGTCTCTCTTTCTGTGTCTGCCTTTATCTATCTCTCTGTCCTCTCACCAACTCTGTCTCCGTCTATCTGTCTCTCTCTTTTGGCAAGACTACTTCATAGACGGCGGTGTATACTTTCATCAGGGGGTTGTCTAATGCCTGATGTTTCTCTTTTTGTAAAGGTAGCATCTATTGATAATCTTTGACTAGACTGACTATTCTGTTAGCGGTTGCAAATAGTGATATTCTTATTGGATAATTTCTTTTTTGTTTATTGCTGGAGTAATTCCAGGAAGAGAAACTTGCCCAATCTTTTATTTGGTTACTTTCAGGTATAGATCGTATAGAAATGGCAGGAAAAATGCTTGATTCTTACCCTTTGTCAGTTTTCAAATAAGCAGTGTGGTTAAAATATCTATTTCTGATAAAAACATTTAAAAATAGTAATTGTGGGTTATCTTCTTAACATGATAAAGTATTTCTACCTTAGTACTAAAGCCAGTATCATATTTAATGAAGAAAACACTAGGCACAATTAGGAACCAGGTGAGGATTCTCACTATCTCTATGACTATGGTTCAACACTATTCTAGAGATATTAGCTAATGCAATGAGACAGGACAATTTAATTAGAGATGTAAGAATGGATAACAAAGCAGTAAAACTATTTTTATATTATGTGATAGTATATCTGGAAAACCTTAGAGAATCAATGATAAGCTAACTCAAATATAGAAGGTAACAGATTATAAAACTAACACACAATAATTAATAGCCTTTCACATACAAACAATAACTAGTTAGAAAACGTAATTCCATTTATAATAGCAACAAAGAAGAAATACTTAGAGATATATTTAATGACAAATGTGCAAAACCTACATAAAGAAAACTTTCAAACACTTTTGAAAAGACACAAAGAACAAGTGGAAAGGCATCCTAAGATCTTGAACAGAATGACTTGACCTTATAAAGATGTCATTTCTTCCGGAGTTAACTTAAAAATTGGACTTATCTCAAGTCCAATAAAAATATCAATGAACTTTTTTATGGAGTTAGACAAATTGTTACTTAAGTCCATATGAAGAAACAACATGCAAAAAATAGCCAAGAAAATATTGATAAACAAACTGTGATGAAAACTAGCAGTACCAGATATTAAAACATACCATAAAGCCTCTATAGATAAAACAGTGTAATACTGATGCATAAGGAGACAAATAGACCAGTTGGGATAGAATAGAAAGCCCATAAATAGATCCAACTACATATGGAAATATAGTATAGGGTAAAGGTTGCATCTAAAATTAATGGGTCAGAGATAGACTTTTAAATGAATGGTGCTGGGACAATGGGGTAGCCATTTGAGAAAAGACAAAATTAGATTTATATCTTATACCATACATAAAAACAATCACCAAAGACACTGGGGATCTAAATGTACAAAGTAAAACCATGCTAGTACTAGAAGAAGCAGAAGTAAATCCCTCTCTAATCTAAATACAGGAAAAGGTTTTCAAACTGTACTCAAGATCCAGAAGTAATTCAATGAATGTTGGTACATTTGCCTACATAAAAAAGTTGCATAGTCAAAAACATGATAAAGTCAGAAGACAACTGACAAACTGGGAGGAAATGTTGGTACCATATACCACAGTTTAAGGGCTAATTCCATATATAAAATGTTAAACATTGAGGACAAAGGACCAGGCACCTGATAGGAAATGAGAAAAATACATGAAAGACAATCCACAAATGATATAAAAATGACCCTTAAAGATGCAAAAAAAAAAAGTTCAAATGCACTCACAAAGAAACTCAAAGCTGAGATATCATTTTTTTACCTATCAAATGGGCAAAAGTTGCAAAATATGACAATATATTCTGTTGATGCAAATGCAACAGATATAAATGCAAAAATGGTGCATTTATATACATTGTTGGTGGGAATACAAATTAGTACAACCATGTGGAGGGGACTCTGACAATACCTAAGAGAGCTAATATACACTTAACTTGTGTATATTAAATAAATAAAACTTGTGTTATAATTTGTGTTAAGTGTATATTAGCTCTGTTAGATATTGTCATAAGCATTCTCACCTATAGGAATCTATCTTGAAGATATACCCTCTACAGGTGGAAATACATATGCATAAGGTTATTTGTGGTAGCATTGTTCATTATTACAGAATATTGGAAACAACCTAAATATCCCTACATAGAGAAGTGTTGTTGAATAAACAATGGCATAGCCATACAGTGGAGTACTATACAACTGTAAAAAAGAATAAGGTGGCCGAGGCAGGTGGATCACGAGGTCAAGAGATTGAGACCATCCTGGTCAACATGGTGAAACCCCATCTCTACTAAAAATACAAAAAATTAGCTGGGCATGGTGGCGCGTGCCTGTAATCCCAGCTACTCAGGAGGTTGAGGCAGGAGAATTGCCTGAACCCAGGAGGCGGAGGTTGCAGTGAGCTGAGATCGCACCATTGCACTCCAGCCTGGGTAACAAGAGTGAAACTTTGTCTCAAAAAAAAAAAAAAAGAATAAGGCAGATGTCTATGAATTGATTTGAAGTTATTTCCAGGATATGTTGTAAAGTAAAATAGAATAGCTATAGTTTGCTGACCTGATTGTAGGTAAAAAAGAGACATAAGAAAACCTACATGCATTTGCTCACTTGTGTCAAAGAAATGTAGGAAGAATAAACAAGATGCTAATGAGATTGGTTATCTACACAGGTCAGGGAGAATAGGGTAGAGAAAAATGGGAAAATGAAAATGGGGTAGTAGGGATAAGGGAGGAACAACACTTTTCTGAGAATACTTTCTTGTATACCTTTGACTCTTAGAGCCATCATAAGGTTTTCCATACCTCCCAAATAGATAAATACTTAAAATCAACTAGGATGCAGGGAAAACCTAATATGGAATAGAAACAGTAACAAATGAACCTACCTATAACATAATTAGATAATATAACCATACCGAAGGGTGAGAAAGAAAAGAATAACCTAAGTAACTTTGGAAAACAGTATTTTGACTGTGTGTTGTAAAGCTAAGGACAGAAATAACTGTACCACAAATACTGTACTCTATTTTCATAGATATATGAATTATTAATTCGGAAACTACATATGCTAGGTTTGAACTAATAACTGTGTATTGTGACTAATGAGAGTCCAGTTTCTCAAAGTCAGAAAAAGAATAACCAAATAAAGGAGGGAAGGCTAGATTGAAGGCATTGGATTGGAATAGTGGTAATCAGTATAAACTCATGATTTTACATACAGTATATTATGTATAGTTTATATATTATATCTATATCTAGCCATATGTGTACAGACCT